ATACTTTTGGAAGTATCTCTCTCTGCAAAAAGTATTAAACACAATTAATGGAAGCTTCCGCCTTTGAAATGGAAATAGTATTTGTGAATCTGTAGAAGTGATTTACCTATAACTTCTTAAATCTGCTGAGTTCTTCAGAATCTAATATTTTTAAAACCATCTGGCAGTTCTGTTCCCAAATATTTCTTTAACAATCATGTCTCTAAAAATAGTAGGACAAGGTGAGCTGTGTATTTTAGAATTTTTAATTACAATATTTCTCTGATAAATCATGTACTTATTAATTGGTAGGGAAAGCATTCTCATTGAACTTTAGATTGCCACACCTGACAAAAATGGGGTTTTACTCACAGATGGTGATCTTTTGGATGAATTGCTTGGGAAATTACATTTTCTTTAGACCATACAATTGTAAAAGGTTTCAATTGGTTTAAATGGGAAGCTTGAAATCTCTCAGAGATTCAAAGGCTATTTTCTCTGACAATTAACCTTACTTCACACTGGTAACCTAAGGACAGTTTTACACATCACTTAGCTTGTAATAACCTATGATTATATACAATAAATGTGACAGACTGATACATAGTGATATCAGCATTACATATACATTAAGAACTTTGTAATTATTTCTGATTCTCTGAACATGCTGTTTGTCACATTGATATCAATAGACTGTATATAAGTAACTTATGAGAACTTGAAAATGCTTGTCAATTAAAAAGCGATAAAATGAAAACTGTGTAATTTTTTAAATTGAAAAATGAGATTCTTTTAGTGTAAAAAAATATGGCTCCACAGAAAATGTTGGCCATTTTTACAATACCTGTAGAAACTCAGATTATGGTCAAACTTCAAAATATTTTCTGTATATTAGTCCATCTTTTTTGTTTGCTGTTTAAGTCCATATCAAAATATTCTGAATTGATGCAATTATTTAAGCCCACCACCCATAAATTGTGATTCATATGCCATATTTTTCAGACTATAAAACCCACCTAGATTTCGAAGAGGAAAACAAGAAAAAAATTGTGGCCTCCCAGGAGCACTCTGTAGGCCTCCCAAACCTTCTGCACATCCTGTTTTTGTGAAAAATGGGCCCATTTTCACAAAAAACGGGCCAGTTTTTGGCCTTCCAAACCCTCCACGCTGACAATTATTGTAGAGTTTATTCTCTTTTTCTTAGCGTGTACCAGCAGGGATGGCAGTTTGGAAACAGATTAAGCTTTGTATCTCCTAGTCACCCTCATTGTATTCCTCCTGCTCTTGACATGATTTGAAGCAGCGGTGTGTTTTCTTGATATTCTTTTCCATTAGTGTGTGTTTTGCTATAGGCTGCTTAACACTCATCTCAAACAGTCTTTGCAAGGTTAAAGGAATGTAGCTTGGTAACAAGTTTGTGTCATTTTAAATATATACCTCCTAGTAAATAAGAAGGAGTCTAACAATCAATCCCTTTTAGTGTGTTATATGTTTCACCTGACAACTAAACCCCTATTGATTAGCCATTACTTTGTTAGATAATCCTGTGTCATTGAAGCCACTGTAAAAATTAAACTCTTTAAAATGTTTTACCCTAGCAGCAGTGTGAAATTGAAAACTTGTTCAGAATTATAGCAAGCTTTCACCAAAAGCGTAGTTTTCAACAAACTGGTTTATGCTTGCATTCTTTATATGCAATATAAAACTGTATTAAAGGCTATCTACCTCTGGCACAGAATCAGGCAAGCATTTCAGACACTGTTTCTCATGGCCCAGAAACGGGTTTCTCTTGGTGTTTGGGGAGGAGGTATTTGGACAATTCAGCTTCTGAGCCTGAAAGTCAAAGAATTATATAGTAAATTATATAGTCTGCAGTAATATATATAGTAAATTATATAGTCCGCAGTGTAGTTTCCTACAGTATATCTAGATCTGAATCCATGCTGGAAAGGATCTTGATAATCTAGGATCCCTTATAATTGGAGTTTTGTCATCTTCTCTAAAAAATTTCCTGAAATTTTTAGAGAAGATGTTCTCTAAAAATTCCTTTTCCTGAAAAAGAATATTAGAGACAGGGAGAAAGTTGTCAAAAACAGTGACACCAAAAACTGGCTTCTTTAAGAGAGGGAGCATTACTTTTTCCCTTAAATTGTCATTCAAAATCTCCCAAACATAACACCACCACCCTGAAATGCCCAAAGAAGCCAGGACGGACAGAAATCTAGTTCACAGGTAACAGAGTTTGTGCTGCTGAGAATACATGCTAAAGGAAAAATGGGAAATCAAATAAGACCCCCAAATTCAAATATTATTTTAAAATGTGTGTTTGCATGCTTGCCTTTTAAGTGTTGACTCCTGGCAATTGTTTGGACAAATCCCTGCAATTTTCTTAGCATGGTTCTTTGGATTGGTTTGCCATTGCCTCCTTCCTAGGGTTTAGAGAGACTTACTGGCCCAAGGTTGCCCAGCTGGCTTCAAGACTAGAACTCACACTCTCCCTAATGTCCAACCTGATGTGTTAACCACTACACCAAACTGGCTCTTGCAGATAAAAGTATCTTGGTAAAATAAAATAAAAATGACAGTCCATATTGACTCTCAAATATCAATCCAAAATTGAATATTTGTTATTTTGTAGCTCATCAAAGAAACTATTTTTACTATTAATGGGCACATAGAAAACATTGGTCTAATGCAAAGGTAGACTATTTATTTTATTGTTTGAAATACAAGTTGTTGTTTCTCATTAACACTCCATTCTGCATTTTGTGAACAAATCCAAAGCAGTGTGAAAAAATGTAATATTGCCTGCATGACAGAAAGAGTTTTAGATTTCTCAAGCTTTACCCTTCGGGTAATCCCCTAGATCAAGAAAGCAGTTGTTCAAGCCTCTCAAAGATCATTAATAAGGAGAAGCAGAAATAATTTGTGTAGCAAACTATTGTGGGATGACTTTCTATGGATTGCACACTTAGTTTCTCACTTTTGGATGTTCAGTAGACAGATTCTCTTTGTAGATGCTGGGTTTTGCTGCTTTGAATGAAAGGTGATTTTTCTCTTTTATTTTTCCTTACATACATGATTATTGGCTTTATTTTTCTGTAACTAACTGGCTTAATATTTTTAAATGAAAAGATGTGTTCAAAGTAAGTAAATAATAGGGAAGGAGCATCTAAATGAAAACGCAGAATGTCTTCTTCCATCTTTGTTTTCAGTGAACACTGAAGATACATGTGTTTTGGTTAATGGAAAGTATTCGTGCCTCAAACAAAGAAACAAAAATAAAGTCTGGGTCTATCTTTAAACCCCTCCTTAAAGAAAATTTGGGGAAGATCTCGAGAATTTGGGGCTATAAAATTTATCACTATCACCCCTCTGATGAAACAGTTGTTCAAACAAATACAGCATCGTTCCAAAAAGATGTTGCCTTTTAAATATCTTTAAAAATTCTGTTTTTTTAAAGCCAAGATAACAACAGACTTAAGAACCTTATTTTAATATTGGATACTGTTTGCTTCATCAATAAACTACTCATTTTATATTATTTATTTATATCCCCCCTTTGTCTTTACAAAGAATTGAAGTTAGTGAACATGTCCAACACACCTTTCTTTTCCTATTTGTGACCATATAATTTGTATGAACACATTTTGTGTTCTGTGTTCAGACTCATTGTCCATAATCATAGACCTCACTCATTAGAACACCAGTCCTGTATCATGCGCAGTGCAATGTCCTTGTTAAATATATGAATATAATACAGGAGGTCTTTATTGAAGAACCATTTGTTCATTCAAAGTTATCACAGTGCTGAACAAGGGGGATTTAGTGTCAGTGCAATGGCAGCTCATGACCATAATTCTGGTGCTTGGCAACTGGCTCACAATTATGACATTGCAGCATCCTGCAGTAATGTTCTCACCATTTGCAAACTTAACTGCCAACTTCTGATAAACAAAGTCATTGGGAAATTAGCAGAAAATCAGAAACAGCAATCATGTGACACTGGGATATTATGACTGTGCAGGATTCACCTAAAAGTGGCAGCTGGGACTGCCAAAACAGCTATTGTAAATTGCCATGATCACATGACATCTCACTTTACGACTGTGGCTCTGCTTAGCCACAGAGTTCTCATGTTTCAATTACCACTGTGAGTAAGCCGAAGTATATTTTGGCATCAGATATGTTTAAAAGGCGAGCATAGTTGTGCCATTATTAGAATGCGGTATTGCAGGTTAATTCTGCCTACAGCCAGGAGTTCGATCCTGACCTGCTCAGTTAACTCAGTCTTCCATCCTTCCAAGATTGCTAAAAGGACCCAGATTGTTGGGGGCAATATACTGTGCTGACATTGTAAGCCACTCAGATAGTGCTGTAAAACACTATGGAGCAGTATATCAGTGCTATTGTGATTGCTGTTAAGATAAAATAGCAATGCTTTTGCAGTAGATTTTGTCTACTGAATACATACCTGTTAGGAATCCCCAGATCTGCAGGAGGTTAATGGACTCTTGATCGCAGGGGTACATGGGAGAGGGGGAAAGGGAGGAGTATGCTATATGTAAATGTTCTTTTACATACCTTTACATATGTATTTTCAATTTTTATTGTCTCAAGTAAATGCAGGATTTTGGTGATCACAAAATTAGCATTTATTTGTTTCTCTTATATCCTGACTTTCTTCAGGAAGTCAAGATGATATACAAAGGAGAGACTCCTCCAATTTTTTCCCAGCAGCTGAGAGACCATGACCCAATATCATCACTGATATTTCATACTTGAGGATTGATATGAATTTTGTTTAAGATCTTAAACAATGTTCCAGTTAAATTCTTTAATCACTAAATCACAGTATTTCAGCTTTTCTTCTGAGTTTTTAACTGAAAACAAATTTGCAAATAATATTATCTGATATTTTATGGTAAGGCCCTTTTAGGAATACAGATTTTTTTTTAAAGAAATAGATTCTTACTATGTTGTATCTCTATTTTTATCACTTTTTTTTCCTCTCTTCACAGGCCTATAACAGCTGTACCAGACTTTGCTTAAACCAAGACACGGTCTGCTTAGGTACTACAATGAAGACTGAAAGCTGTGTGGCCAAAGTAAGTAAAACTTTGACTGTGTACCCTTGTGGGCATTTGGCATCCTATCTATAATCCCTTGGCTTTTCAGAAAGCTGAAAAATAAAGAGATTAAAAGCCAAAATGTATTTTAAATATTTTGTAGTCTAGTAGTTTAACAAAATATATCCTAGATGTTCTATTTAATACATTTTAGCATGGGTCATATTTTTATATGTTGGTTTGATTTATTTTTCTCCTACCTTCTTGTAAAGAAAGTACCCATGTTTGATTTAAATAGGTAACCCAAGAATCTAAATGCCTCTATCATCTATTTTCTAAAGTAAAGTTTATATAGAAGTCTAAATGGTGAGCATGTGATACTCTCCTACCCCCTCTGCTGGCCACCATTATATAATAAAAACTCAGATTTACTTGTATTCCCTCCCCTTTGGAGACTCCTGTTAACAAGATAGAGGGGAAGTCGGAAGAACTTAAAATTGCCATATAATGGTAAATGGGTAATGTGTCTTTTTATATTTCCACTTCAGAAGAACTATTCTTAGACAAAATGTGTATCTTGTCTTAGCTTTCCCTCTAACCAAATATGACTGTTTTAAAATAAGAACTAGGTCTGAGAAATTGTGAATGACTGGAATGTGGGTGCACTTTCTCCTTACTTAAGCTTCATGTTTTCATTAGAAGAAAGTTCAGGGTAGTCCTGTAAGATTCAGTGCATACAGCTGTAGGTTAGCATTTATGGATGCTCCAACCACAAGGTAATTTTTGATAGGAAAATAAGCACCTTATTACCATATTTTTTGCACTATAAGACACTCCAGACCATAAGAAGCACCTAGCTTTTGGGGAGGAAAACAAGAAAAAAAAATCTGCCTCTGCCTCCCAGCAATTTGCCTCCTTGCAGCCTAGTCAGCTTCAGCACAGCCTTATTTAGCACGAGCAGCTGATTGGCAGTTGAATCGGCCTCCCAGAACTGACGATCAGCTGTTCCAGGGTGCGGGGATCACCGCCACCCATCGCCACTGTTGCTGCCCACAGCTGCTGCATATTGCCACCTCTGTGCGCCCCATTTTGGGCCTCCACACGCCCCGTTTTTGCCCCGTTCCAGGCGACAATAGGCGGCGACAGCAATCCCCACCATCTGGAACGGGCCGAAAACAGGACACACGGAGGCTGAAAACGAGGCATGTGGAGGCTGAAAATGGCCAAAGGGTAGGGGCCAGCAGGTGGGCGGGGCTTCAGCAACATTCACTTTATAAGACGCACAGACATTTCTATCCACTTTTTGGGTGGAAAAAAAGTACGTCTTATAGTGTGAAAAATATGGTAAGTAGAATTTATTTTTGTAATATATATCTTCCACAATGAGCATGTTAAATCTGTATAAACTTCATAGCCAAGATCTCTTAAACATAACTGGAAAAGGTAGTCCTTGTTTCCAGCATCCTCATTATCCATAGTTTCACTTATCTACAGTTGGTAATTACATGATCAGGCTCTATCTGAGCATTAGAGAAATGATTCCATCTTCTACAAATGGGGATTCTTGTAATTACCACAGTATTACACTCTGCTTGAAAATTCCCTCTAAAAATTTGGTTTGAGTTTCACCCTGGGAGTATGAGAAAGCTGGGCAATATGCAATTCGTTCAGCAGTAGGCTTTTCTGTTCAGAGCTCATTGGTTTGACCATAACTTACAAGTAGCTGGTAGAGAGACATGAGGTGATTTTTTTTTATTTATTTTTTTTGCAGCACATGAAGGTGTGCTTACAGAAATTAGACCTCTGTTTATTCTTCCTAGAATCTTTGGGACAATCCATGAGAAAAAAGCCAATGATAACAAAAAATAATTAGTAAGCCCTGTTGTCAAATTAAAGATATATTCTTTTCTAGCACTGTATCACTAAGATTTTTATAGTTGACTGCATGTTTTGTGTGTATGAATTTATTGGTTTTGCTAGATTTTGCAAGGGAATAGGTGTGTGTAACATATATGTCTCAAAACTTTTTTATTTTTAAACCAGCTGTGTTTACCATATATCTTTGAATATTAAATAAACAAATTTGCACAGTTTAGGAAATATACAGATAGACAGGGTATTTGTATTATCCTGTTAAAATGGAAACATAAAGCTTTTATATCCTCACTTTGTTCAGAAGAAGCTATTCTCTTTTATTTCCATGAACATTATCTTGTCCTTCTATGGACTCATCCATACAACTAGGTTACCACACTGTAAAAACACTCCACTTACTGTTCACTAAGGATATGTTCTCACAGTGAAGCCACAACCCCATTATCAGCCAATTGCTGAGACAGGCTGAAGTTGATAAGAGTTGTTTCTACAAGAATCAACAGTTATTCATTCTGTATTAACAGAAGACTTCTCCTGCAGACATTGTAGGAAGAGTCTTTAAAGGTCAGTTATAGTCCAATTGGACTGTTGCAGGATTACACCCTCTTGTCTTGCTGCTGGAGATTTAAAGCTTATTTTGCTGACTGCCAAAAGAACTAGACCAGGGTGTCAAACTCTATTTCATTGAGGGCCGTATCAGGATTGTGTTTGACCTCGGGTGGGTGTGGGTGTGGGTGTGGGTGGCCAGGGGGCATGGCCAGTTTAATGTCACTCATGTCGGAGGCACCTCCTCCTCCTCTTCCTGATGCTGGTATGAAAAGATTAACCTTATGGAAGATCCAGAAGGTTAGGTCGGCTTTGATAGATATAGAGGTGGCTATGCTTCTGCTGTAGTAACTATTTTTTTTGAAAACTCGAAATGGGGAAACCTACCACCTCTAGCTTTGTGTGTCATAGTTTTAAGAAGGCTGTGAAGAAAAGAAAAGTTCAGCAACTGAATTGGATGGAGGATTTGAAGGGAGGGAACTTCCTGGACATTTTGATGTGCTTCAGCAGTATTGCTTTCCCAGTATAGAGTTTATAATAACTGTGGAGCCCTTGTGCTCTCTGAGTTTGGTTGCAGATATTTCATTACCTAACTAGGTAACATTGTCAGTGCTAGCGACTATGTAGTTAGTGCCCTGTTTATATGCACTAGTTTATATGCTAGGATTTGGTAATTCCGTGATTACGTTATTGGTTTTTGCTTGATTGTTTGTCTGGTGTTAATTCCTGTTTCTCTGAATGTTAGTTGCTAGAGAAGATGCATTCTGGTCTTTTTGTTTCCTTCTTAGCTTTTTTAATTGCCTCTTAGCGTATGAATGTGATTTATCTCTATGTGCCTATTGATGATTGATTTGTGTAATGCAAACTTCCAGGAATTCCCTAACATTTTTGGATGTAGCTTAGTCCTAGGATGCTCAATTTTCTAATTGAAACTGTTGTTGAGTCCATCCATATGTTATGAGATTAAAGAGTTTTCATTGTGTTTTTTGACTGCTAGTTGGTGTTCATGGATGCATTCTGCTAGTCTTCTGCCTATCTGTCCTATATAGTGGCAGTCCTTACCCAGTATGTTGCATATAATAAACACCTTTTGTTATCTTGTTAGGGTTTTATAGAACAAAATAGGATGGAAACCTATTAGAGCAGGGGTGGGCAACTATGGACCTTTTACAACCTGTGGACCAACTCCCAGAATTCCTGAGCCAGCTTGGCTGTCTCAGGAATTCTGGGAGTTGAAGTCCACAGGTTGTAAAAGGGCTACAGTTGCCCACCCCTATATTAGAGGATTCACGTGGCAGAGTTTCAAAGCAGAATATTTACTTAAGTTTTTGTCAAGGGAATATCACTATTAGATGATTTGAACTCCCCATAAGAAGAAAGTAGTTAGCCACTCAGGGTTCCACTTCATTTTGCCATTATTAAGCAGTGAATATGACAAGTGGAATTCTGAATCTTCACCATCACACGTTTGGGACAGTGATTGCTCATACCATTTGAATGTCACTGCTGGGGGAGAGGAAAGGACTTCCAGACATCCACCAGTCACTGCCCTGAACCTATTCTGTATTTGAAGGCAGCACCTCTATTATTCTCAGTGCTTAGAGGCGATGAAAGGTAGGTTTTGGGGCAGTCATGTTTATATTTATATCTGCATACTTAGAAAGCAAATTACCATGGCAGTGTGGTTGCGCCCTTTGACATAGAAATTCAAAACTGGCCAAAAAATGCATGACGTTAACTTTAAATAGGCATTGCAATACAGATAGTCCTCAGTTAATGACAAAACCGGAGCTGGCATTTCTATTACTAAACAATGCAGTTGTAAAACATGACATCATATGATTGCATCCCATTGCCGTTGTTAAGCAAGAATTGTGGATCCGGAAGCAAAGACCTCCTCACAACTTCTTGCCAGCTACGAACAAGCAAAGTGACTGGGGTAGCTGACAGGAAGTCCCAGGCATCTTGCAAGCATGATGATGGGCAGTTTAGGGCTGCTGCTAGATGTGGAAGGGGCCAGTCTAGCACAGTGTGAGTGTGGAAGGCTTGGGGTGGGTGCAGGAAGGTCCAATGTAAGCATTGTGGGGTTTGGGGTGGCTGCAGCATGCAGGAAGATATATCGGGGAAGCCAGCCAGGAAGATTACAAATAGGGATCACATGACTGCAGGATACTGCAACCACCATAAGTTCAAGTTGGTTGCCAAGTGTCCAGTTCTCAATCATGTGATTACAGGGATGCTGGGGTGACCAGAATTTTGAGTACCAGTCTTAAGTACCACTATTTAGCACCATTGTAACTTCAAATGGTCACTGAACAAGTGGTCATTAACCAAGGACTACCTGTATGAATATTATGATGCTATATAAGGAAGAACTAAATGGTTATGTGCCTTGTAAGAGCTCAGAAACAAACTACCATAACTTGTAAAAACTATGTCAACTTCAGATGGGTTTTAAGCTGATTTCTTATAATTGACATGTACCTACAAATTGCTAAAAAAAATATTTCAGCATATTAGGAACATAGATCACCATCAGCTATAGAATGGTACAATCAATGTGTCCAGGTATGTAAACAAGTATTCTAATAAGGTTTGTTTAACTGTTGTCTCATTTT